CCTTCCTTCCTTCCTTCCTTCCTTCCTTCCTTCCTTCCTTCCTTCCTATCTATCTATCTATCTATCTATCTATCTATCTATCTATCTATCTATCTATCATCTATCTTTCCTTCCCCTTCCTTTGTTCCTTCTTTTCTTCCTTCCCCTTTCTTCCTTCCTTCTTTCCCCTCCCTCCCTCCCTTCCTTCAATAAACATTAAAATAACACATGTAATTCTTTCCTCTCTTAAACCTGTTCAATCTCTAAATCTCTCTTGATCTCATGTTCTGCTCCTGGTATGTTATCTCATTGTGACCTGAAAGGGTTCAAATGTCCATTAGAGCTGGACAGGCTTCATTCTTACTCCTCGTTGATGAAAATGAGCTCCAGGGAGCCTTGGCCATGTTTGTCACCAAGACCTAAAATAAAAGAGACAAGAAAAGGAGGCAGGATAAGGGTTGGTCTCAAGCGTTGCCAAATTATCCCTCAAAGCCTCTGGTCCCCACATGGATCTCAGACATATTCTCAAAAAATAAAATGATGGTTGAAAATAACTTTTAGAGAGGGCCTATAATATGCTTCCAAAATTCTAAATGTGTCCACTGATCTCCACAAGTTGATTAAAGCTACTAATAAGCTATTGATAACCTTGTCTTCCATGATAATTTAGGAGGATCATGAAAGATCTTTGTAATTGTGGAGCATCGATTTGTTTCCTTCCAATCTGTTACTAATTTGTGAAACAACTGAAATCAGCTGCTCATTAGATATGCTTCATTTATCTGATTTGCTTCCTTTTATTTGGAAAGCCAGTACTGGACGAAACAACCTCTTCCAGCCAGTTTAGTCCTGTTTATGTATTCAGCTGGGAATTAAAATTGGGCATGTAGGTTGACTATATTATTTACTCTGGCCAATTTCCATGTTTTCTGCTGGAAAGCCAAAGAGAAGCTGAGCTTGCCTTTCTTGGAATGCGATTCAAGGTCTTTGCATATTCTGGAGTTTGGTTTGCTAGGCCTCTAGATCAAGGGTCTTCAACCTTGGCAACTTTAAGACTTATGGACTTCAATTCTGGGAGTTGAAATCCACAAGTCTTAAAGTTGCTAAAGTTGGAGATCCCTGCTCTAGATCAAATTCAAGCCACCTTCACAACTGGACATTTTCTAAGAATAGACTTGACAACCTTTTGACAGGCATGGTATAAGCCTCCTGCCTTGAACAGAGGGCTGGATGAGAAGACCTCTAAATCCCTTCTGGCCCTATGATTCTAAGAAAACTCCCTTTGAAGTTTTTAGGTGAAGGCAGAAGGCATGTGTAGGTACGATTTGCCATAGCAACTTGGACTATGCTCATCTCTCTCTGAAAAGCATTAAAAAGGAATGAGGATGATCACATACTTATTGTCTCTTTCTCTTCCCGGATGGTGCTTCCTGCAGTACCATTCATCTCATGATCTTCCTCAGACTTCACAAGCTCCTGAAGAACTGCCTCTACAATGGGCATCACCATAGCTGTGGTGGATGTGTTGGAAAGCCACATGGATAAGGTAGTGGTGCAACACATAAAGCAAAGAAGCAGCCTAGAGTTTAAGGCAGAAGAATCAATTGGGAGGCAGTTAAAATCTCATTGTCCACATTTTTATAATTTTATATGTCACGATTTTTTCTAGCTTCACCAGATTTGGGTATGTAAAGGCTTCCATGGTTGAGAGCCATTCTGGTATTTTCAAGTGCATTTTAGGTTTTATCTTTTCCAATATCGATATTAGTGAATTACTTATATAGCAATTTTGAAAGTATCTATGAATTGTATTTTTCTCATACCAAAGGAAGGCATGCTATCCTAATTGTAAATCATGTCCTTCTAGATATAATATCTGTCATGTCTGAGAGTATTCCATTATTTTAATCATGTTATCGCACATGCTTGATAATTTCAAGACCCATCTGGTAATCCAAATCCTCAATTTTCTTGATTCTTGCAGCATCTCTATAATTTGACTTCTTTGTTAAATCAATAAATTTTCTACTTTTTGCTATTCAGAAAGATGCCACAATGGAGATTCTCTTTGTATTGTCGAAATAATGTGCTGAAGATGAAGGGGATTTTCATATGTACATTACTTATAATAAAATCAACAAACTTTGGTAGTCTCTACAAAGGTAAAACAGAAGCATCAGAGTAAACAGACGAGACATTAAGGCAGAAAGAGAAATCAGAGGAGAATGATTTCTAAACTTATTTTACTGTACTTTTTACACAGATAGTCCTCAATTTACAACAGTTCATTTAGTGACCGTTCAAAGTTACAACAGCACTGAAAAAAGGGACTTATGACCTTTTTTCCACACAATAATTTTAGCATCCCCATGGTCACATGATCAAAACTCAGGCACTTGGCAACTGACTCATACCTATGACAGTTGCAGTGCAATGTGATCCTCTTTTGTGATCTTCTGACAAGCAAAGCAAATGGGGGAAGCCCGATTCCCTATACAACTGTGTTATAACTTAATCACTGCAGTGATTGACTGAACAACTGTGTCAAGAAAGATCATAAAATGGGGTGAAACTCACTTAACAAATGTCTTGCCTGGCAAGAGAAATTTTGGGCTCAATTGTGGTCGTAAGTTGAGGACTACCTGTATCTTTTAAATGTCTTTATGATGCACTTATCAAATGTTTATTGTGCATTTTATCAGTTGGTTGTTCTCTTGTTGCAAACCACTGACTGGCTAAAGACCATCATCAGGGAAAGGTGTTTCACTTACATGCCTGGTTTTGCTCCAGCCATCATAACCATGCGCAAGGCAATCCGTTTGTGCAAATTCCACTTTTCAACAGAAGCTGCCACACAGATAACCCCAATGAGAAGCAAGGTGGTGTTCTTGACATACTCAGCAGCAACCTATGGACAATTGAAGTCGATGGGTAGACAGAGGAAATGAGGTATATGTTACTTACAGTCATCTAGAAATTGGGTCCATGTAATTTCCAAATTTTGATGCATTCCTGGGGAGCAACACTTAATCCTCACTTCTAACTATGTCTGTGAGCACCAGAGATTTGCTCCTAAAACTGTATTATGGTCCTGGTTTAAATCTTAAATCTTTTTTTTTATTGAAGACCAATGATATTAAGGAAATGACACCAAGTAATTTGGTCTTCGCAAATTAAAAAAAAACAAACACCATTGGTCTTCTCCAATGAAAAAAGATTCCCAGAGACTGATGTAAAATAATATTTGGCTGAAGTTGATGTGCAGGGCATGGAATAGATATTTCTCTTTCTCTCTTTCCCTCTGTGAGTGTTTGTCTGTCTA